GGCAGAGGCAGTGTTCGCCCAGGGCGCCAAACAGGCTAGGACCGCCACTGGTAGAGATAATACTTTTACTTACTTTATTGATTTATATAGCACTCTTCACAGGATAAAAACCACAAAGTGCTTCACAATAACATAAAGCAGATAAACATAAAACAGCACAATCAAACATTCAGCACAAGTCTAATTAAAAGATAGTCTAAATAAATAAGTCTTAAGATGATGCTTAAAAGAATAAATACAATCCAGGCAACGTAAAGATGGAGGGAGAGAATTCCACAACCTCGGGCCCACCGCTCTAAAAGATCTAAAAGATCTGTTACCTCTGGTTTTAAAACATGTTCGGGGGACGACCAACAGCCTTTGATTAGATGATCTCAGGCTCCGAGAGGGAGCGTGAGGTTCTAAAACATCAGAAATATAGACAGGAGCGTCACGATTCAAAGCTTTAAAGGTCTCTATTAAGTGAAAATGAATTCTAAAATGTACTGGAAGCCAGTGTAATGAGCGTAACACTGGTGTAATGTGCTCTCTTTTTTGTGTCTTTGTTAAAAGCCTTGCAGCAGCATTCTGGACTGACTAGAGACAGTCAAGATTCATGAATAATCATTTCTAACTCAGATTTAGACAAAAAAGTTTGCAGTTTGGAGATATTTCTTAGCTGAAAAAGGCAGTTCCTAATTAACTGTTGAGAGTATTGTTTTAGGGACATGGCAGAATCAAAAACAACACCGAGATACCTGAGGCTCAGGTGAACAGATGATCCAAGAGAACCAAGATGCTGTTTGATTATAAATATCTGGCTGTCAGGGGCAATAATTGTGTTTCTGACTTCTCAGAATTCGACTGCAAGTAGTTGTCTCCAAGCCACTGTTTAATGGAAGCTAAATATTTTATTCAAGAAGACAGTTTATGGACTTCCATCGGCTTAAAAGAGCAGTAAAGCTGAATATCAACAGCATAAAAGTGATAAGACACATTAGGGCAGGGGTGGGCAACTCCAGGCCTCGAGGGCCGGTGTCCCTGCAGGTTTTAGATGTGTCCT